TTATCTCTTCATTTGATGTTTTAGGGTTTCAGGATTGTTGTTTTCTCTGTTTGGCTTAGTTTTTCAGATCTTTGCTGTGGAGGGACAGCGTGGTGCTTCTGCCTAGAGTGCCATTTTGCCGGAAGTTGGGTCATATAGATGGTTTTCTAATGGAGCATTGTATTCACAGATAATATCCTTTATTTTGTGTGCCAATCTGTTATTTTGCTAAAAGGTGATCTCGGGGGATAGTTCCGGTTCAATGTTTAAATATGTCTTCTATTTTTTCTGATGAATTTGGCTAGAAGTTTATCAACTATGTTGATCTTTTCAAAGATTCAGTTTTGGTTTATTGACATTTTGTATTCTTTTTATGTTCTTAGTTTCATTGACTTATGCTTCATCTTTAGTATTTTCTTCCCTCTGCTCGTGCTATGTTTACTTTGCTTTTCCTAGTGTCTTAGGTGGAAACTTAAATCAGTTGCCCAAGACCTTCTTTCTTTTTTTTAATATAAGCATTTAATGCTATAGATTTCCCTCTGTGCACTATTTTAGCTATATCCCATAAATGTTAATATGCTGTATTTGCACTTTCATTCAATTTAAAATATTTTCTAATATTCATTTTGACTTAAAAAATATTTTATTGTGTTTTCAGTGAAGGTTTATACAGCAGCTTAGGTTCCCATTCAACAATTTCTACAAGTTGTTCAGTGACATTGGTTGCCTTCTTCACAATATGTGAACATTCTCATTTTCATTCTGGTTGTTCCACTTCCATCAATTGTTTGATTTTGACTTGTTTTTGACATGTTTGAGTTATTTAAAAGTGTGTTGTTTAATATCCAGATACTTGGAGATTTTTCAGATATCTTTCTGTTATTGATTTCTAAGTTTAATTCAGTTATGGTCTTCGAAGATACTTTCTTTATATTTGTTGGAGTTTGTTTTATGGTCCAGAATCTGGTCTATCTTGGTTAATGTTTCACGTGTATTTGAAAAGAATGTGTATTCTGTTGTTGGATGGAATCCAGTTAGGTCAAGTTGTTGTTCAAGTCTTCCATGTCCTTACTATTTTCTATTCTATTGATTACTGAGAAAGGAGTGTTCAAATCTCTGACTATAATTGTGGATCTGTGTATTTCTCCTTTCAGTTTTACCAGTTTTTGCTTCATGTATTTTGAATCTCTATTGTTAGGTGCATACACATTTAAGATTGGCATGTTTCCTTGGTGAACTGGCCCATTTATCGTTATATGCCAAAAGGCTGTCCTCTTACTCCTGGTGATATTTCTTGTTCTGAAGTCTACATTGTCAGAGCTGAACTCGACGGGACTTCCTTGTTTTTCTGGGTCTTGCAAGTTTTCCACCTTTGACAGGATGCAGTCTTACCACTTTTCTATTGCTCTGTATTAGTGGGAAATACTTGAGTTTTCCTTCTCTGACAGCTTTCCACCTTACAGAGCTTCCAGCTACTCTAGCTTCTAAAAAAATTTTTATTGTGCTTTAGGTGAAAATTTACAGCGCAAATTAGTTTCTCATTTAAAAATTTGTACACAAATTGTTTTGTGACATTGGTTGCAATCCCTGCAATGTGTCAGCATTCTCTTCCTTTCCATCCCAGGTTGCCTGTGCTCATTTGTCCAGGTTTTCTGTCCCTTTTTGCCTTCTTGTCTGTTTTTGGGCAGGTGTCATATACTCGATTGAACTAAGAAGCACGTACTTGACGTGTTTTTTTTTTTTTTTTTTATATATAGGCCTGTCTAACTAATAATCTCTGACTGAAAGCTAGACTTTGGGAGTGGCCCCTGTTCTGAATTAGTAGGGTGTCTGGGGGCCATAGTCTCAGGGGTTCCTCCAGTCTCTGTCAGAACAGTAAGTCTGGTCTTTTTTGGTGAACTTGAATTTTGTTCTACATTTTTCTCCTGCTCTGTCTGGGACCCTCTACTGTGATCCCTGTCAAAGCTGTTGATGGTGGTAGCCAGGCACCATCTAGTTTTTTTTGGCTCAGGCTGGTGGAGGCTGTAGTTCATTTGGTCCATTAGGCTTTTGGACTAAAATTTTCCTTGTTTTTGACTTTTTTCATTCTCCTTTGCCCTGGATGGGATGGAACCAACAGATGTCTTAGATGGCTGCTTGCAAGCTTTTAAGACCCCAGATGCTACTCATCAAAGTAAGATGTAGAACATTTTCTTCATGAACTATGTTACATCAATTGACTTACATGTCCCCTGAGATCATGGTCTCCAGCCCTCAGCCCTAGTAACTTGGTCTCTCAACATGTTTGGACGTGTCTAGGAAGCTTCTATGACTTTGCCTTGGTCAAGCTGTGCTGACTTCCCCTATATTTTGTTCTTTCCCTTCACCAAAGTTAACACTTGTCTACTGTATAGTTAGTGACTTCCCCTCCCCTCCCTCGTAACCACAGATGTTTTCTTCTGTGCGTAAACCTTTTCTTGAGTTTTTATGTCACTCATAAAACAAGTTTGTTGGTTTTACAGCCAGACAGCAGCTAGACTCCTTAGAGTCTATGTTAGATTATCAGCTAACATTCACACTTCACATTCCAAACACTTCAAACCATTAGTTAATAATTAACTACCTCGTTGTTGTTGTTGGTAGGCACTGTCAAGTCAGTTCTGACTCCTAGCAACCCTATGTACAACAGCATAAAACACTGCCCGGTCCTGTGCCACCCTCACAACCACTGCTGTTTGAGCCCATTGTTGCAGCCAGTGTCAATCCATCTCTTTGAGGGTCTTCCTCTTTTTTGCTGACCCTCGGCTTTCCCAAGCATGTCTTTCTCCCGGGACTGGTCCCTAATAACATGTGCATTAGATGTAGTCTTGCCATCCTCACTTCTAAAGAGCATTCAGGCTGTAAAATCACCTGCCAACTTGAAAAAAGCACTTCAAAGATCCAGAAGGTAAAAAAGGAGCGGCGATCCGTACATGCAGAATCACCCTGTTGTTTCCCTACTGCGTTCAAAGTACCTTAATTCACACTAATTGTCTGTGAAGAAGCTGAACTCCAAGTTTAATAACTAGTTCAGAGACCTGAAGTATGATTTTGTGGCCCTAACAAAATCTGAAGCTTTTGTGGTCTTACGTGATTTTTATTTGCATCTTCTTGGATTGAATTCCTCTCCATCTGCATGGGCAAGTGAAAATTTTATACTTGGCTCTACGTAAGAGTTTCTGTGAGCGTCAGATGAGACACTAATCTAGGCCAATGAGCTATAAAAATGTAAAGTAGTATTTACAACGAGTTTTTAAAAAGAGCATTCCCTTTAGAAATCAAGAGACTAGATGGAGTTTCAGCTTATCACACGATGGTGGAGGCTCCCACTGGCCCAACACGTAGGCAAGACAGGCCACTAATCATTGATGAGAATCACTCTTGAAACGGATACTACCTTCCCCTAAAAACACTTGTGGAGGATGATAGTAAATTAAGAATCCTAGTCCTACTGTCACAAAACCCTATGTACTGGAGAAAAAACCCTAGAAGTACATTGGAAAACCAAAGAACAAAAATTTAACCAAACTCAGAGCTGTAACACACACTAAGACTCCTTGCAGTCCTACCGTTAACTCCCAACTACCCTACTAAGTAAGAATGGTACTCTTGTTCGACTACAGCCGACAGACACGTGTAGGAACAAGAACGGTGGTAAACACACAGCACACCACAGATGACTGGGTTAGCCACAAACGCCCACGGCCAGCAAAAATGTTTTTCAGAAACTCATTTTGAGGACGTATTTCTGAGATTGCTCCTGACACCAAGTACTCACCATCAGTCACAAAAAGACACAAATGAGGTATTTTTAAACAGAAGGGATTTAACACAGGGAGCTTAAGATGCTAAACAAACAAAAGGGGTCCCTGAGTGATGCAAATGGTTAACATACTCCGCTGTTAATGAAGTCCACTCAGAGGTACCTCAGAAAAAAGGCCTGGCAATCTACTTCTGAAAAGGCAGCCACTGAACACTCTATGGAGCATAGCTCTTTCTCTCACACGGGGTCACCACGAACTGCGGTCACCTTGACGGCAACTGGTTGTTTTGTAAGGTAACTCGGCAATAAATAACTACTACCACTAGGGCTGGGGGAACACGAGGGAAGAGGGTGTTGCCGCACTTAGCAGCAGAGAGGAAGGAAACGTGCAAGACGGAGCTTGAAAACTTGAGGAGGGTATGGCCTGGCACAAGGAGCAGGGTCTGGCGCGTGCACGGACTTGTGAGGAGGGCACAGTCTGCTGGGGGCTTCGATGGCCCAGCGGGTGTGACCCCTCAGGCAGCAGTCCATGTGCCACTGGTGCCTCTAACTGGGTGCAGCAAGGCTGGAGCTGGAGATCCCAAAGGAAGCTGGAGGCTGGAGCCGACTAACAGGAATGGCAAAGTGGGAAGCAAGGCCCTGCTCTCTGCCCGAGTTCCTCCCATCACAGAAGAAAGTTTGGCAAATGCAGTCTTAGCCCGAGCATCACTGAGCAGAGCATAAAGGGGTGGGTTTGACACGAGAAATAACAGGCCAATAACTGGCACCATCCATGATCAAGTGTTGATGATAAAAGTTACGTGCGTATTTTTCCTACCTACAACACTCAAAAGATGTGCTGTTTAAGAAGAATACTGTCAGATACAATTGATAATTGCACAAATAAAGGTACCAACTCAACTGTCATTCATAAATACAAAATTTTATTTGCACTTCATTAGTGTAGAAAGACCACAATGCTTTTCAATACCACAACATTCAAGACACACCAAGTTATTCAAATACATAATTGCTTATTTACTTTGACTAAACGAAACAGTGAAGTTTAAAAGATATACCAAAGATAAGAGTTCACAAATTCATTATCAGACCAAAAAAAAAAAAAAAGAAGGAACACAGTCTAGGCATTATTAATAATAAGCTCCACCATAGGGAGAAGAGTTTTATCATTACAAAGGGACAGAATGTTTAGGCAAATACATCTATGTTCTTTGATATAGTAAAATGTATCTCTTTAAAATTCCTTTAAACAGGATTTGTTTAGGACAGCAGCGTGGTTTTAAAATCTTCTATAGTTTCAAAAACACTTCTTTCTTTACTGAATCTTTATAGTTCTTAAAAGTACAGGGTATGTCGTTAGGAAACCATGATGGTGGCTCTGTGGCCGGGGACCTCTAAATGTAACAGCCTACCATACAGAACACTAATAAGCAGCCAATGACGGCTTTAGGGGAGTTCGCTTTGTGCAGAAATACTCCAATACTTCCAAGATGCTACAGCTGTGGGGAAAATGTCTTGTAAATAAAGAAAAAGCACTTCAGATAGCTTTTTTCAAAAAGTCTTTAGTTTTACACATTTTCTTTAAAACAGTAAGCAAAGCACCACATTTTCTCTTCTTAGCAGAGTATCTTCTGTCCTCATAATATAATTAACAAGGACAATTATATTATTTATTTCAAGAAACATGATACCTTTCATCTTTCCCACTCTTCATATTAGAAGTACTACGTTTCCCAGCACATGTACACCAGACACTGGGACAATGAATTAAATAGAGTAATTTGGAGGGAAATATGTAATTATAACCAAACCTTACCCAGGATTGCATATTTGCATATTTACAAGTTACTGTATAGCTCTGACTTGGATTACAAAGTGCGAAAAGAAATTGTCAAAATGATTGTAGTGCAGAACCGAACATTTTTCCCCTTCCCAGGGATCACTTCCACTGTGTCTCCCAAGTAGCGAATCAACAGCATCGGACATGTGGTCTTGGTGGAGGCAGTTCTGGTGGGATCTCAGGTTCTGGTTGTAACGAGAGGATACTGTTGGACAACTCGTTCCTTAAAATATCCAGAGGCATCTTCAAGACAAGGGAAAAAGAGAAATTAAAAACAGTTTACTATGCCATGTATATGTTAAATGCTTTGCAAACCATACAATAACACAAAAACAAAGTATTCTTCTATAAACCTCTCCAATCATTGAAGTTTAACCAGACATCAAAATATTCAGCCAAAAATTAAAAGCCAGGTTCACGGAGCTTCATATCAAAACATTAACACTGCCCAGTCTATGTGATGCCCTTGGTTAAAAAGAGAGTAGACCAACATCAGAAATACTCGATGTTTATAGACACTTACTTTCATAGAGCCCAGTACAATGAAAATTTAATACATTAATAAATAAAAAAATGGTTCTGCATTCTCAGGGGTTAGTTTCACCATTACTAAAGAAAGAAATAACTCCTTTGGCAATTATATAAACAACTATTTTAGTAAAAGCTTCTGAGTTATATTTGAACTGAGCAGATTATACTTAGTAATACTGTAAGTAAGTTTGCCACTAAAAATCTTTGAAGGTAAGCTTAAAGCTGCCCAAAGCAGCTGCTGCTGATCACTGAAGCTGTCCAACACGTCTCTTGCAACTCAGCACCACACGGAGGCCCAGGTACAGGCAGGAGGACACCCAGTCGGGGGCAGGCACCAAGGTGGGCAGTATCCTCAGCTCAGAGACTTGCAGACTTTGCTAGTCTCCACTGTATTTTAAATTAATTCTCACAGGGAACAGGAAAAAAGAAAAGTAAATGTCCAAGGAACACGGCATGTTGTCACGCCGGGCTCACATCACCCACCCACTGTACTTCCACGTTAAGCGTGTATGTTATACGCCAACACTAAGTGACACCAAAACCCACGGGTGGAGGTCACAGCCACGCCAGCAAACTGGATGCCTTGGGCCTAGTCAACTTCTCTGGCTCTGGAGCCTCAGAATAACTACTGCACTTTCCTTTCTAAACAAACAAAAAAATAAAACAATAGGTTTTACAGTAAATACTTCGAGATCCTTCTCTTTTACCTTTTTCAGAATGTCATCAACAAGTTTCAGAAATATTTCATCCACATTGAAATTATCCTTGGCGCTTGCTTCACAGAACCGCATCCCAGTTATCTGCTGGGCAAACTAAGAAAAAAAATCCCGTGGGTGGGATGCAACATGGTCCTATGGTCCACCATAAGACCCGCTGGGCAGCTGTGTCGGGGAAGTCATGGTCTCCCCAGAGGGGAAGGTGGGACCAGGAGGTCTGCAGAGTCCCACCCATGCGCAAGCACAAATTTCACAAAGTACAGCACTTCTTATGTGGTAAGTAAATCACACACACAAAACCAAAACCCCTGAGATGATACCAAGCTCCTCAAGTTAAATTACTCGCCCAAGTTTCTAAAACTGTAACGCATCTGACATTTAAAATGGGAATATGACCGACTCTCTGTGATCGAGTCCTTGGCAAAAACCAAGGAAGGTTAAAATAGGTTAGAGTGAGGGAAAACCATGAAAGCAACTTTATGGTTTAAGAAAAGAGTTTTCTCTGTAGAAAATAGGAGGTTAGCTAACAATGCAGTACGTGCTGACACTTTTCTCTGCATCCAAAACGAAGGCAAACAGATGAGAAGGGGTGACCGCAGGACAACTGTACCTACAGTTCTTTCTTTTAGAAACCGTTTGTCACGGCTCTATCTAGTACAGATAAAAATAACATGCAATATCATATAATATTTTCATACAACAGATATAAAATATGGTATGTTATTCTTTGTACTTTTTTATGTTTAAAGTATTTCAAGACTTAAAAAAATAATTTATTAGAAGAAAACGTGTATCAACTGCTCAACAGAGAGCGTGAGAACCGTGACTGATTTCTTCGGCTTCCCGTAGTTCTCTTACCTTTTCACCTTGCTGTCTGGTGATTTCTCTGTCAGTGTCACAGTCCAGCTTATTTCCAACTAAGAGAAGTTCTGCATCTTCTGAAGCATACTGTGGAATGTTAACAGAAGCTGCATGTCCAAGACGGGCACTGTCATCTACCAACAGCATAAACCGAGCCCGCCTTTCACCCGCTCGCTCACTTGTTCATTCACCCCCAAGTCTCTGAGTCTACGTGTCCCAGGCGGGGCCGACCACAGCGCTGCCCCACAGCCCTCACAGGCTCGCCACGTTTTAGCCCAACAATTCCTAAGGATCTAGCATGAAAAAACGATTCAAGATACAGGCAAAGCTCCAAACTCGAAATGGTCATCTGTCGAAAAAGCCCCAAATGTCAAACACCACAGATGAGAAATAAGGTAAATTCAAAATTCAGTTAGAAAGAACCCATGCTTTGGGAAAACATTTAATGAGCCAGGAAGAACTTCATGATACAGTATTTGCAAAATAAGCAGGATTTAAAACGAAATGGAGTATGAGTCCAATTTAGTTTCTCAGGATTATAGAACTATAGATTTTCTATTTACTTCTTTGTGCTTTTCTTCATTTTCCAAATTTTCTTTAATGAAAGGTTATTACGAATTTTGTAATTAGGAAAACTCATTTAATTTGATGTGTAACAATAAAAGGCCCCTGAACCGTGTGAACCTGGCCAAGTGACTTCGTTAAGTGGGTGTCTCAGCCTCCCTCTGGGTGATGGGTGGGTGACTGCCTGCTCGGGCTGCGGGGAGGACTAAACAGTGCCTGGCACACGACAAGCACCCAACCAACAACAGAACTTACTCAAATGAAGGTAAAAGGCAAGAGGAGGCATCCAAGTATCCAAGGGAGCCTTAGACTGAAGACGTACGTAACCACTGAAACATTTACCAACTAATTGGAAACTCAACTAACGGAGGGAAACAAAGAGACTGGAGCACCTAATGGAGCCCCCCTTAGGACTTAGGCTGTTTCTTTCGGTTTAAATTCATCCCATAAGTTCTGGAAATTTTAGTCTGCAGTGAGGACCGCTCCTTGCTAAGCCCCCTGGGAGCACCACCTGTGGCTCCCGCCGCGGAGCAGGAAGTGTGGCGCCCAGGTCTGACCGCCAGCGGGGAGAGCGGGGCCTGCGCTGAGGGCCGCTTCGTCTTTGTAACCGTGGGAGCCCTGGTCCCCGACACGCTGACAGCATGGTTGGTAAAACTGGCAAACATTCTCCAACATTACTTCACACACAGTTTAAGCACCATTTGTAAACAAAATCCTGTCACTATTAGGTGTGCTTGTCATGCAAAGGAACTAAACATTAATTATCCCATAAGGGGAAGAAAACTCTCCAAATGGGATCACCTGTGTACCACCACCTCTCATCCCCACCTGCTCTGCCCTCTCAGTGTGTGTTCTGAGTACACTTTTTTCAGAGGGGAATCTACGGTTTACATTACTCATATAGACACAGGCTATCTAAATATACGTAATCATAGCCAAAGAATAACATCTTCTTTTGTTCAGAACGGTGAACTAAAGGATACTGATAACCGTGAGTTGCAGTGATGACAGAGGCCCATCCGCAGACGCTATGGGGACGGTGATCCCTGGAGGGCACATGTACTCAGAGGACACTCACAGGTGGGTAGGTGCTCAGCTGAATAATCTAGAGAAACATGAGTCCCCTCTAGCTAATTCCATGGGAGCAGCGGATGTAACTGAATGAGCATGTTTAGGCTTTGAAGTCAGACAGTCCAGGGTACTAGAGTAAAACTCCTGGCTTATTATTTATAAGCTGTGTGATCCTGGATAAATTTACTTTTTCTCTGCCTCACTATAACACAAGAATACATGAATCTACTCCAAAGGTTGTAATACGTAGTAAATGATGCTCAGCATATATAAAGCGTGCTCAGTAAATATGTTTCCCCCTTCTGTCTTTTATCACGATTAACACTCATAAGCAAAAAGTTCACATCTGAGAGAAAAATGCAACACCTACCTTATCAATCATCTTCATCCATTTTGGTAAATCATCAAACGTCTCTTTCTTGGTGATGTCATACACTAATATGATCCCCTTGGCACTTCTGTAATAAGCTGAGGTAATGCTGTTGAATCTCTCCTGGCCTGCCGTGTCCCTAAGAAACAGCAGCAGAAATCAGTTTCCCAGCAATGAACAAAGCAAGGAGTGCCACACACATAGAACTGTTTTTCTACTATGAGGAGACAAGAACACCATGTCTATTTCTTTCTTTCTTTCTTCCCCTGATAACCACAGTAAAGACAGCAGTAAGAATTCAGCTGACTAAAACCACGAGACACAAGGCACGTTTGTGCATGGTTAACAACTACAGGGGATGAATGGAGACAGGTTATGAACCAAGATTAACTAAGCATCCCGAATCACTTCTCCCTTAAAAGGCAATCAGCAGTGGGTGTGACACAACATCAAAAGGTATGCTTCTAAGGTAGAAAAGGTTTGATAACACAGTACTTAAAATTAACAGCTCATTCCAGGTGATTTACAAAGCAATCAGAAACATATCTGAGAACAATGATGACACGCAGGGAATACAGATTTCCCACATATGCACCATGCACGTGCACACACGCGCTCACACCCACAGGCACTCAGCAGCAGGTATCCTAAGATTATACAAAACGAACACCCTCCACGTCACCAGAGGATTCACTTCTCACTGGCCCTCAGCGCTAGTGCTATGGGTGGGTCTGGGGCATGTGGGGTAGTTTACCTATTACCACTTCAGGTGAGGAAAGAAGAGAAAGCGTCATGACTATACTCGGAGAAGGGAGTCTCCATCAGCAGCACTGGGTCGTTCTGTGGAGACCAGCAGCGGCGCCCGCTCCTGGGAGTGCGTGCGGCCTGGCCTGACCCCACAGAGGCAGACTGGTGCCCTCCTACAAGCGTGTCCCTCTACCCATCAGCTAACTCCTGACTCTGCGCCACACCCCGTGCACAGGTTATGACTATTAGCACGAGGGCTTTTCCGAGCTATTATAGTTAAACTAAAACATAAAGACTTCCCAATTTCTTTCAAGCCAAGATTTTGAAATAAAAAAAAGCAATTTTTATGACAAAAAGACAACTGTAACATAAGGGAGAAGGCAGATCCATAATAATTTCACTTTTGTTGCTAGGTGCTATTGAGTCCGTCCCAACTCACAGTGACCCCATGTACAACAGAATGAAACACTGTCCGGTCCTGCACCATCCTCACAATCGTTAGGCTTGAGCCCATTGTTGCAGCCACTGTGTCAATCCATCTTGTTGAGGGTCTTCCTCTTTTTCGCTGACCCTCTACTTTAGCAGGCATGATGTCCTTCTCCAGGGACTGGTCCCTCCTGATAACATGTCCAAAGTACGTGAGACGAAGTCTCGCCATCCTCGCTTCTAATAATTTAACTAAAGATTCTAAAATCCTGCACGTAGCAACATCTTAAATTTTTTCCAATGAACCATCTTTCCAATGTGAAAATTCACAAAGAAAAGCATAATAGTATTTTATTTCTTAACTCATCTCTTAAAACCTAATTAAGCTAACAATACCTTTGTAATGAATTTTTTGATATTTTGGAATAAAATTATGAGCATAAGGTGCTTTAGTACTATAAATTATGTAAGCGCACTTGAACACACCTTGTCCCCACAAAACCAGACCTTTGTTCTAGAAGGATCTAAGTTCCTGATCTATGAGACTCTGAAGGAAATTGATATGGAAGAAATAAGAGGACTAACAGAGATGTACAAGGAATTAGATAGTGGGCTGATTTAAACTTTTTTGTCGTAAAGCGTTACGCTCTACCAAGTTTTTCCTGGTGTTTTGTTCTCTAAACTGGCATTTCGTGTGCGTGTGTGTTGTTGAGAAAAAAGGGAGGAGAGATACCAAATAGGTCTGCAAATACAGTAAACATCTATATTCTCTTCCTGCTCAGCTGAAACCTTAAAAACTATTCTCCAGGCTTACGAGGAACATTCCAACATGAAGAGCGACAAAAGCAAGCACATTAATAGTCTACAGAAGCTGGTTGAGATTGTCTCCATCTAATAAGCCAAGAAACTGCTTGAGAACCATCATATCTAACTACAAATGAGACTCTTCTCTTCATCAAACAAATACAGTAGGCTTCTGATCTCTAATTTAGCTTTTCCCGAAACAAATCCCAAGGAATCCTAATTATGTGGCACATTAACAGGAGGTATCTGAAACAAGGCAAGTAAGTCAAGGCCATGGTAAAGTACGTGGGTGGGAGGGAGAGTGGCGACAGATTAAACAAGAAATAAAAAAGGTTCTTTACTGCAAGGTTTTTCAAAAGGGGGAGATAATGTGCAACATTTTCCAAATGTATTCGATGAAAGAAGACTTCTGAGGTAAACCTGTGGGCCCGTGTCCCTAAGAACACTCTTTGGAAATGTTACGACTTATGGCTTCGTTCAGACTAGACTTCCTGCCAAATTAGTTCCATTAATGGTCCATTATAGCGTTGGACGAACAAACGAGTTTGTTGGGAATTCCTTCCACACACAGCAAAGCCACGTGCCCTGTTGCCCTTGGCTGGCCACCACGATGCCTGGTCCACAGCGGGCAGTCGATCAACACGTGCTGAACGGAAGGAGACAGGTTACGGAATGTACAGAGCTGGTGCCTCCTCAAGGCAAAATACACTTTATTTTTTGACCCAGAACTGCCAAAATATTAGAGAACTGAAGAGTATGATAGATGGAGGCTGAACAATGTAAAAACCACACTAACAGATGACTTCACAGGGGTTGAGAAGGAAGTGATTCAGATACCATTTTGATTACATGTGGAATCAAAGAGTAAAATTATTTCTCTACTCCTAGGCATTCAGGGGCATACATTAATACTTTTCAAACCAATAAGACTCAAATCTTTCACAGCGTGCTTCCCTGTTCTATCACAAGTTATGGCTTACTCAGCTTAGAATTTGACAAAATATTGTCAATGTTTTAAAAACTATTCTGTGCTGTTTGAATACTGTTAAGAAACAGCATCTCTCATTTCTTTAAAACGTCAAAATAACATGCATTTTTCTACTCTGAAATTTGTGGCTTAGCACAATATAGGCACATCACTAATTTAATTAGCAATCAGATGTGAGATCTTCATCAAGCATTTTGCAGCTACAACTTTCATGTCTTTATTCTAAGCAGTTCAAGCTGGCTTTTAGTGTAATCAGCTCACATTCATTTCTATACACATTCAAAGTCTTTATAATTCAGAAATTGGGAGATCAAGAATCGAGAAATTAAAGATAATGGACATTTTAATAAAAATCCAACAAAAAAAAGGATAGTAAAAGGCATGTTTGATATAGGAGAAAACATTGTGTGAAGAGCGTACTTAGGAATCTTAGCACCGACCAGCTGCCTCTGAGTCGACCCCGACTCATGGCGACCCCAGCCGTGCTCCACAGGGTTCACAATGGCTGGTTTTTCGCAAGCAGACTGCCTGGCCTTTCTTCTATGGTGCCTGTGTGGGCTTGAATCCCCAGCCTTTTGGTTAGCAGCCTAGTGTGTTAACCATGTGCACTACCCAGGATCCCTAAGAAGCTGAGCAACATTCCGAAATTAGCCGTCTGTTGGCTTTAAGTTGGACATACAGCAACAGGACGATGACTTCAAAACACAAAATCTGACGCAATCACTCTAACACAGAGAAATGAGCAAATAATTTCATTTAACAAAAATCTACCAAGAAGTTCGTGTTTCCCCATTTAAAGCTGTTCCTTAAATTCTATCTGTTTGTGCCTGGCTCTGAATGTGGGAGGTAAAAAAGCAGCTTCCTCTGGGAGAATACTCCATATTCCCAAAGATTCTGGTTGGGAAAGTTTTTATTTTCTATTCCTCTCAAAAGCTCCTTTGCTTGATCTATTAAACTCTCTGCTCTCATGTGTGGTCAAAGAACAGGGTAAATGAAAGACCGATTTAGCTCAACAAAGATTTATTAAATACCTACTAGGTGCCAGTACCATAAAAAGCCCCACACAGGCCTCTACTTTTCAAAAACCCAGATGAAGATAGAGCACCAATGCACCAACCGGGCTTCCCTCTGTCTGTGATGCTGTGGGACCCTACCGCCTCCCACCTTTATCTCTGTGAGCTGCAATTTTCACCCTCACGGAAAGGGCTCATTTCTAGAGATTCACAGTTTACTCATGTCAGCTAAATCATTTACTACAGCTGGCATCTGATCGCTTCTTCTCTCGCTGCTTTTGGTACAAATTGAAAAATTCCTACAATTCTGTTTCCCCAGTTAGATAACAAAATGATGCTTGAGTTATTCAAAGATTCTTATTTGTTTTACTTAGTATACCCATTTAAATGATGAAATTACTAATCTGCAGACAGTAATTTCAAATACTTGAAACAGTCCATCTCTTCTAAGCAGAGAACCAAAGCAAATGGGGCATGACACCAACAGAAAGAATAGCTGGTTAAACTAAATTTCCCAAACAGTGAAGACCAGAATGATTTATAGAACACAGGAATCTTTATATGAATCATTTTAGTTTTATGTTTGCCTAAAAGTAGGAGACAAATTTCATGGTTTCAAGTCCATTTCAAAACAATGACTGTAAGTTCACCTTGTATAACTGCCAGTATAGCACTTCGGACATATATTCAAAGCACCATTAGTCAACACATTTTATTTTAGTTAGACTTACATTTCTATATACATACGTGTAAAAATAAGTATAGAGATGAGAAAAATGGTCCCTTTTCTGACCACAGATAATCAAGGAACCAAAAAAAATGTGACGATGACATAAAATATTAGGTAGAAATGTGACAACAACGCTGTAGCTTTTAGCACTTTAAACTTTCAAGACTCTACAGTAAGTACACTTTGTGGGCTCAGCCGTGCCCAGCAATCAACGCTCTTGGGGGTTCACTGCTCAGAACATCAGAGTTGAGCTGTTCCCGGCACAGCACTGTCTCCTGAGTCTCCTCAATGGGAGTTCTTCTGTGGCCTCAACCGACAGCCACATGCTAAGACAAAGCACACACAACAGCATCAGCCGGAGGAGGGCTCGTACGCCCAGTAAGCCACACGTTACTCTGGATGAGTGTAAGAATTAAAGGAGCCTCGGTGGCGCAGTGGTTAAGTGCTTGGCTGCTAACTGAAAGGCTGGCGGTTCGAACCTACCAGCAGCTCTGCCAGAGAAAGACCTGGTGATCTGCTCCTGCACAGATGACAGCTTAGGAAACCCTATGGGGTAGTTCTACTCTGTTGAATGGGGTTGCTATGAGTCGGAATTGACTAGAGGGCCCACAATAGCAACAACAATTAGAACTATGACTTCCATATTTACTTTTTACCAAATGGATAGCAATAATGAAGAAAAAGGTTTTTTCATCTTTTAAAATACTTCAGAAGATAAAAATCATATTTTGAGTATTATGTGATTAACAAAGTAGCTGGTATATTGCAGATATATTACTCACGGTTGAGAATCCCTTCAGGAAAAGACAAATCCCACTTCCTAACTGAATCACTGGAATATTCTATGTAGAAAACCCGCTATCAACTTTTCAATAAATCAATCTCATCTTTCCTCCCTTAGTTATATTTTTCACCAATGTTGTGAAGACTTTAAAAAATTACAGACCAAAGGCAAGGAGTGACGAGCCAAGGGAGTGGCCGAGAAGTTCTTTTTCTGAGAATGCTCTGACATCCACAAGAAATGTGGTTCAGAGCGGAATCTGGTAAGGCAGGGCTTCCTAGATCAGAGTTAAAGGCATTGTAGGTTAGACTCCAGAAGGACCAAATGTCCCCAGCATCAGACAGTCTTAGCTAAGGGCAGAATGTCCAGGGAGACACAGGATATCTGGACATACTTTCCTAAGTCAGGTTATGCTGGCAGAGGTGAACGCGGAGTCTTACTACATTATACAACTCTCTGCAGATATGCTGCGGTCATCAGGCATCAGCAAGCTTCACAAAGAGTCAAATGTTAGCTATATTGCCCTTTGTCAACAATCGCATCAAAAAGTACTTCACCCACAGGTGCTAGGCACAGAGACGGACATACCCAAAATCCTTTTAAAGATGCTGTCTTTACTTTAAAGAGCTTACAATTAGAAACAGCAACCTCTGTCCAAAATGCTTTGTTGCCATTTCCAGACTTCAAACAATGAGCAACAAAGTACAAAACAAAGTTTGCTGCCTTTTCAATCATGGGGTAATATAAATAAGAAATATCTGTATTTTGTTATTCAAGTCGTATTTTAGGCAAAGCTGTTAATGTTTCATAATTAAGCCAAAAACAACAAACAAACAACAAAAATCCTCAAGGTGAGTTAGAGTGACAGATGACCGAATGAAGGTATTACCTCAGGCAAGCAGGCTGGTTCAGCTGCAGTGTGCCCCAGACAGGGACACAGGTGAGGAATGGAGACATGCCACTCACACCCACGCATTAGGTGACTGGTGATGCCACAGATGAGCAGCAAGGACCGCAGATGAAAGCACACACACACACGGTGGACAAACACTCAGAGTCGAGCGACCTGCCACGAGGAGTTAGTAAGCGGAATGCATCTGTGTCACGAGAAACAAAACGGCATTCTCAGAAATCCTCACGGTGCCACTCTCCACCGCCACCAGTCCCGTCTCCTTCCTTCCAGAGAGCACGGCTGGCGGCACAGCGCGTGTCCTGACACCGCCCGTGGGCCCCCGTTTATGGCGGGCTGAAAGCTCTCAGTGCTGAGCACAGTACGGCACGGCTGGTTTACTCGCTCAGTAAGCTTAGGAGCTGAGTAAGCTGACTTTGAGAAAGTGGCTGCCCTTCAGAAAGGGGCCCCCGGCCTCATCTTCCAGCTGGCATTAACGGAGGAATGACATCACAGGGCCCCAGTGACACAGCTGGCAGGATCAGGCTTGCCCCACAGCAACACACACCCACACCGGGTCATGAAGGAGTGCCTCTGGGTTCTCCTGTGGGTGGCCGGCCTTTGAATGAGGCAAGTCTGCTTGTGAACATATTGGACTTTCTCTGAACATCATCATACGAAATAACTTTAAAGACATGGAGACAAGCATCTGAGCAGTCTTCTCTCAGTGGTGACAGTCTGGATATGCGTGTCAAATGACTGGCAACACAGGCATAAAGGCTCCAAATGAGTTACCACCGAGTACTATTCTTCTTTCCACAACCCCCGGGTGTAAAGGAGTATGAAATGAGCAGACTCTCTCATAAGGGCTCTCTCGAAGGAAGCACTGTCCATTTAACTTTAAAATCAGCAAAGGAGAAGAGAAGCAGGAGAGGCAAACCAGCTCTAAGAGTTAATTTCATTAGACAAGCACATGAACTGATGCTAAACACATACAGCACATCACGGGGTGCACACGCTTCCACTTACCAGATCTGTAATCTAATTTTCTTTCCTCTTAGCTCTATAGTTTTGATTTTAAAGTCAACACCTACAAATAAAACAAAAGAAATTAGTTTGTCATAAAAATAATCCTATCTTGTAATTTTATGTCAGTACCAGAAAAACGGAAAAACAAGCAACTGTCACCACTAAATCCCAGAATGTGTAGGTACAAGTACCCCAACACCTGTACCTACTGAGATACTCTCTCATTTCGGGACTCCAGCGTGAACGTGGCTATGTTCTGCTTTATCCTGAACGATCTGTCTAGCGTTTGCTGTTCATAATATATTACTATTCTAAGCTTAGCATAAAAACCATTTTAAAAATGACATTTAAAAATTACATGAAAAAGCAAATGGCTTTAAAAGAAATGTTATCTTGAGGAAAATTCTTAAATGGAACACTGTGAAGTTTTCATCTTGATTTCAAACAGCCATAGTCTGAATTTAGAAATTTCTGTATTAATTTTTAGCATTCACAAAAAATTAAATATAAACATGACTTTTTTTTGATCATATCATAAACGTGGGGAAAACTATCTTTAAAACTTTACTCTTATATAAAGTAACTTACCCAATTCTAATTTGTTTCGTTTTGATATTACTGAGCAAACCATCATGTATCATCTTTTCCAATTCAGCCCTTAAAGCTTTAGACGTACATTGTTTTTTTTCCCCCACTGTGGTAAAATACGTATCACAAAATATTGCTGTTTCAACCAGTGTTAAGTGTATAAATCAATGACGTTAATCACATTCACCATGCTGTGCAACCATCACCATTGTCCATTTCCCAAAAAATTTTATCACCCAAAACAGAAACCCAGCACCCCGGAAGTGCCATGGGTTTCTCCTTTTATAGGTCTTTCTGGCCCTAGGTTTGTAGTTCTGCTAAGATGATTTGCTAGGCCACAATCTTGCAAAGAGATGGGACAGTTTCCTATGCAAATAAGGTAGGTAAAACCCTTGTGGGAACTGGGTGATTACTAGTAAACTAAGCAACTGAGACCCACCAAGGAGACTGATCAGTTTTGTCATCCTGCTAGGCTTATGAGGGCTAATCCCACAGAGGGGTTTTTTTTGGGCAGGGAGACCTCACTACCATCAAGAAGAACCTTGAGTGGAAGAGCATGTCCTTTGGATCCAAGGTTCCTGAGCTGAGAACCTCCTAGGCCCAGGAGACAGAGAAAGCTGTAACACTGAAGACAGAGAGACTGGCACAGCAGTGGCATGAGATGGCGAGAACCAGGAGACTGGTGGGAGGTGCTGCAGTGGGCTTCCTGGCCCGTGGAGTGAGGCAGCTGCAGTGGGCTTCCTGGCCCGTGGAGTGAGGCAGCTGCAGTGGGCTTCCTGGCCCCCGGAGTGAGGCAGCTGCAGTGGGCTTGCCAACCCACGGAGCAAGAGAGAGCTCAGAGCCTTCAGCGAGGAGGCTTGCTGGCGAAGTGCGGTGCCTTCAGGCACTTGTTGGCAGAGCTAAAGCGCTGTAACATGTGCCTAAGCAGGGTAGAGGCCTGGCCAAGTGGGAGCCAGCAGCAGACACCCAAGCAGTGCAGCCTGCCTGAGGGCACAGCCAAGAAGAAGCTGGGAACTGTTCTGGTTAGAGGCGTCCTGATTGACGAACTGTATTCTGAGTTGTAGCCCGTTACTTCCCTAATAAACCACATAATCCTAAATACGGTCTGTGAGTTCTGTGTGGCTGTTGTGACAAATTACTGACCTCAGCAGAAAAATGGAGTGCAATGGGGAGACCGGCTGCTGTCAGAAAAGGTAAAAAAGCTGGGAAGTGGAGGTACACTTGATCTCCACTTCACAGGGCTCTCTCCTCCTCCTGCAGTTAGATGAGGTCTGACGTCACCACACTGCAACTCGTTCAGCTATAAGTCTCCTCTCCCGCCTCTCTGGTGACCACTGATAAACTTTTACCCCTGTGCATCTCCTGTTCGAGACAGTTCATGAAAGTGGAATCATTCAGTATTTGTCCTTTAGAGTCTGACTTGTTTCATTCAGCATAAAGTTTTCAAGGTTTGTGCATTTCATAGATGTATCAGAACTTCATTTCTCTTTACGGCTGAATAATATTCCATTGTATGGATATACCACATTTTGTTTATCCATTCATCTGTTGATGGACATTTGGGTTGTTTCTGCTTTTTGGCTATTGTGAATAACGCAGTAATGAGCACTGGTATACAAGTCTTGCATCCCTGCTTTCAGGTCTTCTAGGAGTGAAACTGCTGGGTCATAAGGTAGTTCTATGTTTAACTTTTTGAGGAAACACCAAACTGCCCTCCACAGCAGCTGCACCATTTTATGCTCCCATCAGCAACAGATGAGGGTTCCAATTTCTCCACATCTCCAAGCCAACACTTGTCTTCTTTCACGTATATTTTGAAAACCAAATTTTCATTTGTACATGTTGCCTTATATGCTTCTCAGTTATAGAAAACTTAAATATTTCAACAATACGTTTTACACAATTTGACAGCTAAGAAAAAGAAACAGACGGGAAGCTGGCTAGCTGTGAGAACCGTGGAAGAGCTGCTTCCAGCCTGCTCCCAGAGTCCATCAGCACGCCCGGGTACGCGGTGCAGCACGGCCGGGGAGCGCAGCACACTCGGCCCTCCGTCCTCACTGGGAACTGACGCAACACTTCCATGTCAGGTGACGAGTCTGAGTGAAGTGAAAGACACGCGACTAACCTTTATAATTAGTAACATTCTGCAGACGCCAAGGCAATAGCAAAAGGCATGTTTACAACCTTGGGGGGCTGTGCGGGGCAGCAAGGCAGTCCTCCTTCCGTACAATAAAGAGAAGTTGCATGAATAGAAAAAGCCACAAGACAACAAAGCTAATCTCTCATGCCAGATGTATTTTCAAATGCCACTGAAGGAGAGCTGCGTAATTCAATTTCACTTTCAGTTCTGGAATGGATTTGCTTTTCCAAGTCAAACAACATCTGGGCGGGCCCTGAAATGGGAGGCATGTTTGTGCACAGCCAGTATCAGCAGACGGAGCGCCTTCGTGACCACAAGTAACAGTATAACTGCAAGTGACAGTTTAGGGAACATAAACACTGCCCAGGTCTGTGTGCTATGTCTTATTAAAGAGGCACAGCTTAATGACAAATCACTGCCTTCATGACAGTAAATCAAGTTAGAATCTCATCATCACAATGATGCTCTGGGGTGGCAATTAGGAACATTCATAGTTTGTCATGTGACCACTGTTCCAGTTTACTTTGTTTCCAATGACTTGAAATGGGGTCTTTCTTTTTCATTTTTAGTTAAGGGAGCTGTGACTTTTAAAAGCTTGTCACAGTAGCTGCTACTTTATTGAGAGGAATTGGCAGATGATGCCTCTTTTGGAGCTCTGCTTCAAATCAAAAGAATCCCTCAAAACAGCCAGAGCAAACAATTTTTGCTCTGAGCCCACCATTCTCTCCTAAGAATTGTTCAGAGTCTGAACATGTCAGATGCTCCTTTTCAACCAGCTTCAGCGGTCCTACCCTAGGACTACTTCGCAATCACAAAGTTTAATTAATAAAAATGAAAGGGCATTCATATTCAAAATCAGGAAATAAGCAGTGATATTATCACCTTGTGATTCTAAATACATTTACTAATTTTAATATGAAAACAAAACAAAGATTAACTGACAGTGATTAAGAATCTGTTTAGCCAAAATGAAGATTATCTCGTTAATAGATTACAATAACATCACTAAGAACAGAAAAAGCACTCGGTGGCTATTTCTGAAACTTCATGAAGAGAACTAGTCTTTCTCTTAAATGAAATATGCTTTACCATATCAAACAGCCACTACCTAAACAGCTTGTAATGACTGGATACTTAATCCAACTTATGGCTTGGAAACATATATTGTACTTGTATTAAAGCATACAACTATTTCTAGACACTTTCTTAGTGCTGTCCATCTTTAACATGTGGAGTACATGCACTAGCGCATGTCAGGTCAGGAGTCACTGCTGGCCTCAAACACTCACGAGGAGGGACTCTGAGAACCGACGTTTAGGAGCAGCAAGGGGCAAGGGAGGCTGCAGACTTCATTTCCACCACTGCTGACAACCCACTCTCCTGTAAGCGTCTGGAGGAAAGGGGAAGGATCGGCCCTACAATGTCAGTGGTGGAGACGGTCCTCCCTCAAAGAGCTGCCACACTGAGCTACGTCAGCGTACCACGTGCTGGGCAGCAGGGGCCTCTCGTGGCTGTTCTCTCTTCTTAGACAAGGGGAACCTCCTTGTGGGCCCAGAAAACTCTCCTTAGTGCTGAGCGATTTCCCATGTGAAGCCCTCTGGGACTGCATCCCCTCACCCCTCACCCGTCCTCTGTGCTCCCACTTCTTGGACCTGGACCCTCCCACAGCCTTACCACACTGTTCCTCATTCATCTGTCCATCTCCCCCACGAGGCCGTGTGCCCCCAGGGCTCAGCCATCTTTGGCTCCCTAAGGCCTAGGACGCTACCCAGCACACAAGAGCAACTCAGTAAATGTGGGATGAAGAGAAATGCGCCCCTCCTCCCATCCAACGCCGCACTGCACGGAGAAACGCCGACCACTGTGGGAAAAAGCAAGGAAACGCAGGGCTGATGAGAGAAGACACAAAGCACACGACAGCAGAAAGAAAGGAGGGCAGACGTGTTCGGCCCCGTCTGAGAGCAGAGCAGGGAAGGCAGGGGCTCGGCTCACAGCACAGCACCCTAGAAACGAGCATTGTGTTTCTCCTCCAGCTCGCAGTCCTGACTATAAACCCTTAAAGTGTGGGGTGGTCTTCACACTCACCCTGCCTCTGGCGCTCAGCACAAGCGCAGCATGCAGTAAGACGCCACAAGATGAGATTTCCTTTACTTGGTTTATGGAGCGCCGCGGTCTTCCATTTACAGACTGACAAACTGGTGTCGTCAGGATTCACCTCTGTGATAAAAACTCCCAATGCCGATGACATACCAGGCACACCTTGAGGAAGTCCCCGAGTAGCGCAAACAGTCTGCACTTGACTGCTAACCTAGGTTGGCGGCTGGAACCCACCCAGCAGTGCCACAGAAGAAAGGTCTGGTGATCTGCTTCCATAGAGATTACAGCCAAGAAAACCCTACAGGGCAGTTCTGCTCTGTAACACATGGGGTCGCGCCGTAAGTCAGAATTGACTCCATGGCAACAGGTCTCTGTTAGTTTACCACACCTTTTTAAAAATAGCAAAATGGGGCAAGACTAGAAAAACAAGGAAAAAATTTAATAGGCACACTGAATATAAATAATTATCTGCATAAAGACTATGTATGTTTATCTCACAGGTTAAGAATTTGTACATGATACGTATTATGGCTTTTCAAAATGATTTTCTACTTTATCAATATACAATATATTCCAAAAAGAAAAAAAGTCACTAGAATTCAGTACTATTTTACAATGACAAGATCATAGTTCAAAATACCAGACGGCTGGTTCCTCTTTCAATATACCAAATGTCCTGTAAGAACCAGTTGTGGTCATTAAAGAACTCACAAGAATCACCATTACAGTGAGGTTCTAGCCTCACGGAAGATGTGAAACGCCCAACTACACAAGAAGTACAGTCTCTCTCCACATGACTTCCTGCCTGTGGAGGGCAGACTCCCTCCGTTTGCCTTCCCTTTGCTGCTCCAAGCCATGGAACCTCTCCGTGCCAGCGTCGACATCTGAAAAGACCATCCTGTGTCTCCTGCTGTACCTACGACATGACGTGACACAGCAGCATTCTGAAAATGGAAAACGGGCCCCATCTACCCTTCCAAAGATTACGTGAGCCGAAAGCAGCTCCAGCGACCAGGTCAGGTCAGAACATTATTTCCACTATTGCAGGGTCGCCACAGTCTCTCCTTGTGTCTTGGAGTCGCGTGAGATGAAGGTTCTATGATAATCCCTCTTCCTAAAGTGCCAGAGTCGAGCAGCACCCAGGATGCCACCTCTGCAGTGCTGACCACCAGCAAGTACCACAGGGAGTTTGAGAACCTCTACATTTAACTGGGAAGACAATCGCAGACACTTGGGTGTGCATTAAATGACCCACCAGGAGCTCCCACCTCCTGGCTTTTTAATCACTAGAAGATGCTAACTTTCCTCACCTCCCTCCTTGGTCCACTGGAAAGGACACAGGTCTTTCAGCCTGCAGCTGCTCAGTGGACACCAGAGGACCCGGTGGGGTCAGAGCAGAGGCTGAGGCCAGTGCCTTCCCTCCACGAGCGTCTGCACACACACACGAGTCCATGAAGCTTTCCCGGTTACTAGAACTCATCAGGTGAATACAGGTCTGGAGACTGAAAAACAACTCAAGCAACTAGAAGAGCATTCCTATTGATGGCTGACTGGCCAACAGCATCTGCTTTATGCATCAAGGCAGATTTATTTAATTTCTATCACTTCCTCCTGAGGGACTATGACCTAGGCAAGGGTAAGTGGAAAGGATATTTGCCTTCCTTTTCCTTCACAGTACCTCAAATACTCTTTATAGAATTTTATGAGAGTTATTTTTCCCCCCAAAACATCATTTCATATTTCAGAGACAAATAATCCATGTTTAAGTGACATTCCCTACATATACTCATCACAATGAATTATTACTGTCATAGTTTATTTATTCAGTAAGTGAGATGATGGTTATTTTGGTAACAGGAGCTTACCTCTCTTTACGCAGAACTGTTTGCCAATCTGATGGAAGCCTTCCTAAATATATTTTAAGAGTGCTTTTAGAAAGGGCGTGGTCACAGGGCTACAATCCCTATGCCACTGGTCTTAGAGCGCTCTATTTGAGTCCAGTGTTTTCTTTTGTGGTCTTAATTTCCTTTGATAATAATAATGATCACTGACATTTATCAAATGCTCTGAAACCTCACAACAGCCCTCTGAGGTGGTCCCACTGTCCCCACTTTACAGAGGAAGGTGCTGGAGCAGAGAGGACAAGGTAGTTTGCTAAGGTCCTATCCCATCCTAGCTGGGTGGCAGAACCTAGATTCTAACACATACACTGACCACAGTGAAACGTTGTTATAAGACAAGTCAGCTGGGTAGGAAGAAAAAGTACAAAACATTCTGCAAATAAACTAGAATCGCCAGAATCAAGCTGCTAAAGGACAAAGCTTCAACTGTGCACTTTATGGTCTTTGTATTTGTTCTGCACAAATCTTAGCGATAAAGTGAGGACTTAGCACAGTCCGTGCTGATAAGACTTCTAAGTCCCCCTGTAGGCAAACTATTTCTAAAACACTGGATTTCTTTCCATAAAAAGTTACAAAAATGAAAATAGCCAACACAACAGAAGCTTCTTTCTTCACACCCCTTTCCAGCAGAAAGCTAAAGAAAAGCAGAACTAACAGTATGACGGCTAAGGGAAGACTTACTCCCCTTTTTCTCCTGTGCTCATTTCCCCCTCTCTCCCACCACCAAAGATCCAGAGTTTGAACCAGACTATAGATTTAATTTCACTTAACACATTCAGGAAGTTGAAGGATTTTCACAGACTTTGAAATAAGTCTCGATTCAAAGAGTGGTTGTGATGTTGCTGTCAATTCGTAATAACTAAGTCTGCACTGTGGCTTTTCCTCCAAGGACGCAGCTACAGAACGTCACCCAACTTGGGAAATAACATTCCTGTGAAGGGAGAGGATTTCAAGTATTTTCAGTGTGAGAATAAGAAAAATAAATGTGTCAAGGTCACACAGACGGGGCCAACGTAACATGAGGATGGAAGTCCTGACTGAACTCGCGGCCCGTCTTCTCCCCACACTACACCAACCTGTGAGAGAAGAGCATACGGCAGATAGATTCCCACGGGACAGCATCTTATGAGGGGAAAACACAGCAAACTGCCCGTTAGTGGACCTACATTTAATTCCCATATGTCTCCAGGAAGTGCCCTAATCAGCGAAACTGTATCCTAACCTAAAGCATGACATGAGGATTCAATAAAGTAGACACTAAGTACTATAGCTGTACAATATTTTGATAGTCTAAGAAATCGGTATATTGAAACAGTAAAATTACCATCGTTTAAAGATGCTCACCAGGCCTAAGGCTATCGAATGTCTACGTTGAACAGGACAGGCCTCTTTCATTCCCTGTGTGACACGCTTTCCGGGCAGCAAATGCACACCACCCCGTGTCCTGTCTCTGCCCCTGACCCGCGTAAGGGCACACGGAGACGGCCTCACACACGCAGCACCGCCACCACCCGTGTCCGGTGAGGGAGACGGACACCAACACCATGGGAGCGGCTCCCTCGGCACTGCTACAGCTCCATTTCATGGTGGTGTACACGCCTGAAGGGACTTCTCAGAACATGCTTGTCCCCTTCATAAATAAGAAGAGCAAGAACAACTAACTTGTCTATGGCCTCTACTGTGTTTCAGGTACTATTTTAATGGCCTTTTATACATGAATTCCTTTGATCCTCTGAACAATCTTATGAGATGGATGCTATCATTGTCCCCATTTTACAGATGAAAAAAATCGAGGTTCGGAGAGGCCAGCAACTTGCCCAGGGTCACCTGGTGGTATCAGAGCACGGACTTGGACCTGGGCAGCCTGGCTCCAGGCTACCTCCTCCCCACTCACTGTGCTACCTCTCAAAGATAAATCGGAAAAGGAGGGGGTAGATGGAAGGGAGGTATAAACATATGTTTAACGTTAAAAAAGAATTCTGCATTGCTAGGAAACCTTATAATTCCTCAAAATGAGAGTGAGGTATTCTGGCTGGGACAGACGCTGCTCCTGAGCCAGTGTGCCCAGCAGGCCTGGCTCTGCTCTTGGCTGCAGACACACCCCTGGCTGAAAAGCACACTGTCAGTTCCAGCTCTTGGTCACAAGGGGAAGAGAATATAGACTGGGGGGTGGGGGTGGGAGCGGGGCAGGAGAACGCGGAAAAAAATCCAGGTCAAATAGTAGATCAGTGACATTTTCTTCATTTGCAAAGAATATTAACTTTACTCCTATTCAGATGGATTCATCAAAATTCAGTGACTGTCAAGGGCACTTTACATAGGTCATGTGTTTACATTACCATGTTCATCTGTATATAATTCAGTATGTTTCTCTAAAGGAGAAGTTTTTTTTTGTTTTTTTTGAGTGCTTCAGAGTTTGTTGTCTCTCCAAAGGATAAGGATTTTGTTTGTCTTCAGTGCTTCAGAGCTTCTGCACCTATAGTGTAAGCCGGGAAGAGAAGGGAACATAGCCAACATTTATAGTGCCTTTTCTGGCCCAGGTACCTAAGATAATTTCTCCCTTCACCATGAGATAGGGAAATAGTGTAAGTCCCATATTGTTCCTTCTTTTTATGAATGAGGAAACTGAGGTTAAGGTGCTTCCTTAAAGACACACCGACGGCTTGCGGAAGAGCTGGGATTTAAATCCAGGGCTGCTGGCCCAACTCCAAAATTCACACACTTTCCATGCGCCACGCCGCCCGCGGGAACGTCCAGAACAATGGTGTGGCCGAGGAGAAGGACAAGTGGTTTTTTTTTTTTTAAGTAAAAAGTTAAAAGCAGCATTTTGATTGTAGTTGCGTTATTCCTCAGCCAGTCAATAAGAGTGTTGCTCTACCATGTACCGGGCGTGCAGAGGGAGACCGAGAACGTGGGGGGCGGACCCCACTACTATGCCCAGGAGAGGCTGACTCACTGAAAGGAGACTGTTCCTTCACCTGGGAGTCCCCGGGTGGTGCTAACGCTTAACACGCTCGGCTGCTAACTGGAAGGCTGGAGGTTCAGCTCACCCAGAGGGCCTAGTGATCCACTTCTGGGAAAAAAATAAAACCAGTCACCGAAAACCCTTTGTGGCGCAGTTCTACTCTGACACACTTGGGGTCGCCATGAGTCAGAATCAACTTGGCAGCCATGGGTTTTTTTTTTTTTTTTTGGTTCCTTCACCTGGCTCATGGCTTAGGGAATTTTGAAGCTCCTGCATTAAACCAAGGGCTGGGAAAACAAAGTCTCATCTCTTAGCTACTTCCATTGTAGCCTTGCCTGAATGGAACTACAGTTTTTTGTTTTGCCTTTTAAACCAAGAAGATATTCTGTAAGCATCAGAAACGGA